ATGGCACTAGAGAACCTTGATGAAGCTGCAAAAAATTTTACAAGAAATTACCCATCAGAGCAAGGACATATTGAAAACTATACTCAATTATCATTAGTGGGGAAATTTTACTAAAATTTTTGAGGATGTCTCTGGGGAAAAGCTCATCTGTCTCCATTACAATCCTAGTAAAACTGTTTTCCTTGTAAACTCAAGCTTCAGGATCCCATTGAACATGTCCAAATGGATTTCCTAAAATTAACCCCAGCAAAGGGTTTGGAATATGTTCTGATCATTGCTTGCAACTTCTCTGGATGGATTAAAACTTTTTGACAGACAGCTACAATTATGAGAGAAGGAAAAAATTTCTTGATTTTATGTTCCCATGACAGAGGCACTCACTTCACTAGGCCTATTATTGGAGAACTTTGCAAAGCCTTGTCATTTGCTTAAATACTTCATTGCTCCAATCACCCCCTATCTTGAGGAAAAGTATTGAGAATTAATGGCATATTAAACCTGATACTCTTGAACTTCCATGACCAAGAAGGTTATGTCTAACTCTCAAGACGACTAAATCCATACTCTCCTACACTCAATGGCTTCCACCATACACACATTAGAGGTTACTAAATGAAATTGGGTAATTGTGCCCTAATTTTGGACATATTCTTACTTCAGACAAAACTGCCAAAGTACTCCAAAGACTCAGGAAATATTCTTTATAGTCTTATCACCATCTCATATAAGTTGCCTTTCCTCTACATGGTCTAAAATGCATATAAACAAAAACTGAGAGAGTTCATTACTGTTAGATCTGCCCTGCAAGAAATGATAAAAGGAGTCCTACAGGTTGAAATGAAAGAATACAAGAGAGTAACTCACAGTCATATGAAGAAATAAAGATCTCAGTAAAGGTAAATACATTAACAATTATAAAAGCTAGGATTACTCCAACAATGGTTTTTATTTCTTTTTGTTTCTATATGACTTAAGAAATTGATTCATTAAAAAATTATTAGACTAAAAGCTAATATTATTGTAACTTTGGTTTGTAACTCCACATTTGCTTTCTACATAATTCAGAGACTAATGCATTTTTTTAAATTATTATTTTATGTGCTTGGGCACACAATATATAAAGATGTAATTCTGCAATATCAGCAACTGAAAAGGGTGGCAATGGAGCTATAAAGGAACAGAATTCTTGTATGTAACTGAAGTTAAGTTGATATAAATTTAAATCAGAGTGCTATAATGATAGATGCTAACTATAATCCCCATAGTAACCAAAAAGAAAATAGTTATAGAAAATATACATAAGGAAATAAGAAAGGAATTTAAATATTTCACTACAAAAAGTCAGCTAAACACAAAAGATGGTGGTAATGCAGGAAATGAGGAACAAAAAGCTAAAAGATACTCGGAAAACAGCAAAATGACAGAAGTCAGTCGCTCCTTACCAGTAATTACTTTAAATGTACATGTAAACTCTCTAATCAAAAGACAAAATTGAAAGAATGGATAAAAAACATGATCCAACTTTATGCTGTCTACAAGAGACTCACTTTAGATCTAAAGACACAAGCAGGTTGAAAGTGAAAGAATGGAAAAAGATATTCCATGAAAATAATAACCAAAAGGCCAAAAAAAAAAGGACAAAATAAAAAATAGACTTTAAATTTGAAAAAGTTAGAGACAAAGAAAGATACTATATATTCATAAAACATTCAATAAGTGAAAGATATAATAATTATAAACATTTATGTACCTAATCACAGACCATCAAAATATATGAAGCAAAAAAGGACAGAACTGAAGGGATAAATAGTTCTACAGTAATAGTTGGAGACTTCAATATCTCATTTTCAATAATGGATAGAACAACCAGACAGAAGATAAGTAGGGAAACAGAAGACCTGAACAATACAGTAAACCACTTAGACCTAACAGACATGTACAGAACACTCTACCCAAAAACAAAATATACATCATTCTCAAGTGCATCTGGTACATTTTCCAGGACAGATTATATGTTAGGCCATAAATTAAGTCTAAATAGATTTCAAAAGTAGATATTATGCAGTGTATCTTTTCTGACCACAAGGGGATGAAGTTAGAAATCAGTTACAGGAGGAAAGCTGGAAAACCCATGTATTTGTGGAAATTAAACAACAAACTCCTAAACAACTAATGGATTAAAGAAGAAATCACAAGGGAAATTAGGAAATACTTACAGACAAATGAAAACAAAAATACAACATACCAGAACTTATGGGATACAGCAAAAGAAGTGTTAAGGGGAAAATTTACAGCTATAAATGCTTACATTAAAAAGAAAGATCTTGGGAGAAGGGTGTAGCCCAAATGGTAGAGTGCATGCTTAGCAATCCTCAGCACCTCTATTAAAAAAAAAACTGATAATAAATAAATAATAGACCTAATGACCTCTCCACAACCAAAAAAAGAAAAAAAGATCTCAAATCAACAACCTAACTTTACACTTAAGAAAGAGAAGAACAAATTAAACCCAGAGCTAGCAGAAAGAAGGAAATAATGAAGAGCAGAGCAGAGATAAATGAAAAAGGGACTAGAAAAACAATAGAGAAAATCAGTGAAATTAAAGATGGTTCTTTGAAAAGATAACAAAATCGACAAACTTTTAGCTAGATGGACTAAGAAAAAAAGAGAGAAGACACAAATTACTAAAATCAAAAATGGAAGTGGGGACATTACTATTGATTCTACAGAAATAATACGTATTATAAGAGTACTATGAACAATTGTATGTTAGGCACAAACTGAGTAACCTAGATAAAATGGAGAATTCCTAGAAATGCAAAACTTACTAAGACCAAATTATGAAGAAACAAAATTTCAACAGAACTTTAAGTAGTAAAGAGACTCAGTAAGTATCAAAAAGCTCCCAACAAAGAAAAGCCCTGAATCTGATGGCTTCAACTGGTGAATTCTACCAAACATTTGGAGAAGAACTAACAGTAATACTCTTCAAACTTTTCAAGAGTTGAATAGGAAAAGACACTTTCTAACTCATGCTTTGAGGTATGTATTGTCTTGATACCAAACCCAGATGAAGATACATCAAGAAAAGAATACTATAAACCAGTATCTGTGATGAACACTGATGCAAAAATCCTCAACAAAATACCAGCAAACAGAATTCAGAAGTATATTAAAAGGATCATACATCATGACCAAGTGGGATTTATCCTTAGGATAAAAGGACAGTTCAACATACAAAAATTAATCAATGTAATACACCACATTAACAGAATGAAGTGGGGGAAAGCACACTATTTCAACTTACGCAAAAAAAAAAAGCATCCAACAAAATTCAACAACTTTTTTATGATAAAAACACTCAACAAACTAGGAACACAAAGAACCTACCTCAACATAATCAACTGAAAAACCCACAGTGAACATAACACTCCATGGTAAAGCAATGAAAGCTTTTCCTCTAAGATCAGGAAAAAGGCAAGGATGCCCACTTTTAAAACTTCTGTTCATTTGAACACTGGGGTGCATTTATCTTTTCAGATTAGAGGTTCCTCTGGATATATGTCCAGGAGTGGGATTGCTGGATCATATGGTAAGTCTATTTTTAGTTTTTTGAGGAATCTCCATACTGTTTTCCATAATTCTGCACCAAACTGCCCACCAACAGTGTAGGAGTGTTCCCTTTTATAACACCCTCTCCAGTATTTATTGTTTGTGGACTTTTGAATGATGGCCATTCTGACTGGTGTGAGGTGATACCTCATTGTAGTTTGGTTTGCATTTCTCTGACAATTAGCAATATTGTGCATTTTTTCATATGCCTATTGGCCATTTGTGTGTCTTCATAGGAGAATTGCTTGTTTAGGTCTTCTGCCCATTTTTGGATTGGGTTGTTTGTCTTTTTGTTATTAAGTTGTATGAGCTATTTTTATACTCTGGAAATTAAGCCCTTGTCAGTTGCATCATTTGCAAATATTTTTGCCCATTCTGTAGGTTGTTTTTTCATTTTGCTTACAGTTTCCTTTGCTGTGCAAAAGCTTTTAAGTTTAATAGGCCCCATTTGTTTATTTTTGCTTTTATTTCTATTGCCTGGGTAGACTGCCCTAGGAGAACATTGCTAAGAGTTATGTCAGATAATGTTTTCCTATGTTTTCTTCTAGGAGGTTTATCATGTCTTGTCTTATGTTTAAATATTTAAGCCATTTTGAGCTCATTTTTGTGTATGGTGTGAGGGAGTGTTCTAACTTCACTGATTTACATGAGGCTGTCCAGTTTTCCCAACACAACTTCCTGAAGAGACTGTATAAACAGGTCTCTTTATTTCAGACCTGTCTCTCATATATAATCCAACTTTGGTTTTACTCCCATTTCTATACAACTTTGGGGTCTGTCTGGCCTCAAAATTCCCATTGTTGGCCTATCCTCTGTCATTTGAATTCTGTTTCTGACATATCACCTCCAAATTCCTGTTTCAATATTGCCAAATAATGAGAAGAAGGGCCATCTTAACTAACCTTTCAAATTTTAGCTGTTAAGATTTCTTCGGTGGAAAGGCATGAGAAACACTATTAAAAAATGCCTCCATATGGATAAGGATAGAAAGAGAATCAGATTCAATACTGTTTTTTTTATATTTGGTTACAGTATATAATAACAACCTAAAAAATGGTACTATTCTGAGGTTTCACTTCCTAAAAAATATTTTGACTCTTTATAACATAAAATATGTTTTTCAAATATGAAATAATTCATGGTAGTTTTCAGAGTTATCCTCAGTTATTTTCTTATCAGAAAGCCTAAAAAAAAATGGTTAGTCTCAGTTTTCTGGAATCCCAAAATGTTACTAACAGTTTTAGCTGGAATTTTCTTCAGAGTCTTTAAAATGATGCACAATTCCTCAAATATGTTTAGGAAATGTAAAAATTAAACTCTGCAATTAAGGATTAAAATACATTTTAAAATAGGTTCTAAAAATGCTAATTAGAGGGGGAAATACTCACCTTTTGCCATTTAAGTTCTTGGGTCTCCACAATAATTTTACCAATCTGCTCTTCATACTGAGTTTCTGCTTCCTAAGTCAAAAACAAGGAAAATGCTATGAAAATTAGGACTTGAAAAGTTCCAGTTTCAGCTCTTTCTAAAGAGCTAAAAAGATCATCCTCCCACACTCTCAATACAAAAAAAAGCTGGAAAATTGCAAATTAAATAGACAAAACCATCAGAGAACTGAGGCCCCAGATCAATCAAGTAATCCAAAATCTGGATAGAGACAGGTGCCTGCAGGGAGAACAGAACCACAGCATTTGTTTACTGGGGACATAAGCCATGCAGTACTGATAAAAAAAAATTCAGCTAAACATACTAAATAAATTTCTAAAGGCAGAACATAGGTTAGTGTAAGAACATGAATCTCCTGAGGGCCCCAGAAATAAGGAGGTTTACACTTTTGAACAGGTTTTTCTTCCATGATACCCACCAGGTGCTTACAGGGAAGGATGGGAAGAATCTGAGAAAGCTTTCCCCTGTGGTACTGGCTGGAGACAAGAGTAGTCACAAACCATCTTCCCTGTTACCTCCTACAGACCAAAAACCTAAATCTGCAAGGGAAAGAACAACAAAAACTGTATCTAAGGACACTAGTGGAAATCCTCTGCAGCTGGGAAAGGGGACCAGGAGCCACCACTGAGACCTCTGCCTCAACAGACCTTTCTTCCTTATCTCCCCTGAGGAACAAAAGCCTTAATCTACAGGGGGAAAAGCAACAAAAGCTCTAACGTGAGAGCACTTGTGGGAACCCACGGCAGCTGAGAGGAGAAGGCTAGGAAAATAAAACAACAGTTCTATCGATGGGGAAGGGGAAGGAATACATGCTAGCCCCACCATTAAATACGAAAGAGGGATCAATATTCTTATGAAGACCTCACCTTGAGACTCAGGTTCACCAAAGACTGAGGCTTAATCAGAACATCAGAGAATGCTCCTATTCCCCCACCTGCCACCACCACCCAACTGACAACAGTCAGATGAAAAAACAGAGAGATACAGCTGGGGGAGCTGTAAAGACAGACTCTCTCTGGGAAACAGTACAAAGAGAAGAGCCAAAGTCAAGAGGGGGAGGCCCAAAGCCAAGCAGGAAGCAGTTACTTAGAAAAATCCTCTGATTTTGTTTAAAATATTATAATACTCTTGAATTAGCCCACACCATAAACACAAGGTATCACTAGAGAAATGTGAAGCTTCTGTTGAAAACGTCAAATAGGTAGACTTGAAAGCTGCCTGGCTGAGTGCTGAATGCATGTCCCAACAGACACACACACACAGCTCTTCTATGAAGACTGGGAGTTTTTTCATAGTTGTTTTGGCTCCAGGTATTTAAGGGAATCTCTGTCAAACAAAGCACTAGCTGATCACTAAGCTAAGAGCACAATGACTTCAATTGCCACGCATGACAAAAACTTAATGCTTAACAAAATTATTTCAGAAAACTTATTAAACAAACAATGACAAAAACAAGCAGTAACCTTGGGGAGCGGGAGAAATCTGATCACATATTCAAAATGCCCACGTCCACTTCTCAACAAAAAATTACAAGGCATGCAAATCAACAGAAAAGTGTGATCCATACACAGGAAAAAGAAATAATAGTAACTGTCCCTGAGAAAGTGCAGACAACAGACTTAGACAAAGACTTTAAATCAATAATTTTAAATATGCTCAAAGAGCTAAAAGAAACCACGTACAAAAGTCCTGTAGCCATTAAAAAGTTAAGGGAATGCTACAAACAAGTTTATGCTCATAAATTTGACAACTTACAGAAATGGACCAATTCTCAAACCACAAACTACAAACCTCAACCAAGGAGATACATACAATCTAAATAGCCCTATAATCATAAATTTAAAAGCTCTCAAAAAGGAAATTTCCAGGCCTGGATAATTTCGCTGAAGAATTCTACTAAAAATTTAAAGAAGAATTAACAGCACTTTTACACAGTTTCTCCCAGAAAAACAGAAGAGGAAGGTGCACGTCCCAACTCATTTTATGAGGCCCGTTTACTGGGACACCAAAACCAGATAAAGACAATACCAAAAAAAAAAAAAAAAACAAAGCCCAATATCTCTCATAGTTTTGATGGAAAAATCCTCAATAACATATTAGCAAATAGAATCCAACATTGTTGGATTTCAGGTATGCAAAGCTGGTTCAACAGTTGATGTAATTCACCAAATCAATATGCTACAGAAGAAAAATCATATGATCATATCAACTGGCACAGAATAAACATTTGACAAATACCAACTCATTCATAATAGAAGTTCTCAGCCAGTTAGGAATAAAGGGAATCACCTTAATTTGATAAAGAGCATTTATAAAAACACTACATTTAACTTTGTTGTTGTTGTTATATTCACTACTTGATTTTACTTTTCAGATTTCATATATAAGTGATAACATATACTATTTGTCTTTCTCTGATTTATTTCACTAAGCATAACACCCTCCAAGTCTATTCATGTTGTTGCAAACGGCAGAATTTTCATTCTTTTTTATGTCTGAGTCATATTCCACTGTATCTTCTTTATCCATTCACCTGTTGATGGGCACTTGGGTTGCTTCCATATCTTTGGTTATTGTAAATAATCATATTTAATGATGATAGACTGAGTGCTTTCCCTCTGAGATCAAGAACAAGAAATGGATATCTACTCTTGCTGTCCTTATTCAACATACTACTGGAAGTTCTACCCACTGCAATAAGGAATGGTTAGATGGATGGATGGACAGACAGACAGAGAAAAGGAGAGGGAGAAAAAAGAAAAAGAGAGGGGTAAGGAAGGAAGGAAGGATGGATCAGATAGATAAAAGTAAAACCATCTTTATTTGTAGATGACATGATCATATACATAGAAAATCCCAAGGAATCTATTAAAAAGACTCCCAGAACTAGTGAGCTGAACAAGGTCATAAGATACAAAAGATCAACACCTCCAAAATCAATTACATTTCTATATACTAACAAAAAAAATGATGAAACTGAAATTAAAAACATAATACTAGCTGTACACCAGAAATTGACACAACATTGTAAACTGACTAACCTCAATTTAAAAAAATAGCATAGCACAAAAAAATAAATAAAATAAATAAAATTGTGTAGCACAAACCTTAAGTTCTTTGAGAATTCAAAGAAGAAAAAACCACAATACTATTTATAATCACTCTAGAGAAAATTAAATACATAGGTCTACACTTAACAAACACATACAGGATCTGTATGCTGATACACAAACAACATGAATGGATTAAAAACATTACGCTGAGTGAAAAAAGCCTTACCTAAGAGTATATATTGTATGATTCAATTTATATGAAATGTCAGGAAAAACTAATCAAGTTAGTGTGGAAAAATCAAGAGTGGGTTGCCTCTTGGGGAGGGTAGCAGGAGTAGAATTTGCCTGAGAAGGAGCTTGAGGGAATTTTCTGGGTTGATGGTAACATTTTATATCTGGATAACAGTTTGCATTATATAGGTGTACGAATCTGTCAAAACTCATCAAATATACAGTTAAGATTTGTGTCTTACATTCCATGTAAATTTTACTGGAAAGAAAAAAGCTGTACTCTGCTTAATGATGTGCATTCTGATGTATTTAGGAGGAAGTGCACTGATGCCTGCAATTTATTCTGAACTCATCAAAAATAAAGTTGAAGGAGGGATAAGTAGATAGACAGGTATGTTATAAAACAAGTACAATAAAATGTTAATGGTGTACGAGTGTTCACTGTCAAATTCTGTCAGTTTTGCTGTATGTTGGACAATTTTCATAACAAAATGTTTGGGAGAAATCAAAGAGTGGATGTTAACAGACAAAATATGTGTTTATTATAAAATATTTTCCTGTGACTCTCGTACATGTTCTTTGCTTTATTAGACATACACACACACTCTCTCTCTCTCTTCCTCTCTCTCTCTCTCTTATGGTATTCAGAAGTTTTCATGAAAGTGGTCTCATTTTAAATGCTTTCAGCAGTAAGTAGCAACAACAACAAACCTCAACTCACAATGGCTTATCGGACTTATTATCTCACATGACAAGTCTAAAGACGGAGTGCATCTAGGATTGATTTTTAGTGGCTCAAAAATATCATCAAGGACTATGATCCTGGCCATCTTTCCATTTTGCCATTATCCAAGTGCTTTTCCTAAGATTTTTCATCCCCTGGCTACTTTAACTGTAGGCATTAAGGACAGAAAGGACATTATCCTGCAGTAGAAAAAGTACAACCTCTTATTAAAAGGATAACAAAACTTTTCCCAGAATCTTTCCAATACACATCTTCTAATATCTCACTGGTCATCACTAGGTCATATGCCCACTCCCAAATCAGTTGCTGGCAGGTGGAATTCACTGGACCTTCTTGAGTGGCTAAGATAGTCAGGATTTACCTAACTCACCTGGATGAGAGGTGGACCCTATGACACAATCAAGGTTCTTCCAACATGGAATAAGGGACAGAATGTACATAGACAGGGTATGCTAAGTGATAAAGTGAGGATAGAATAGAAGCTCTTGCAGTAATATGCATCTAAATTCAAAACACTGAAAAAGGAAGTAAGTGTATACACACTTGTTTGGGGAAGGGGTGTGTTACATATAGCATGCATATCTTCCCAAAGCAGGTGGACTGAAAATGTGTACGATACTGCTTTCTTCATGTAGGCCTGGTTATACACTTCACTTTCAGTGGCTATAGTGGGTTAGGAGATCTTACTATGATTTAGATATCATTCTAAGCACTTTTTATGTATTGATTAATTTAATCCTAGGTATAATTTTATGGATAAATACTCTTATTATTGCCACTTTATAAATAAGGAAACTGTGTTATTAGCAACAGGAAAAGTAACTTGCCTAAAGTCACATAGCAGGTAAAGAGCAGAGCCAGTTATCTGAACTAAATGATTTGTCTCCAGAGTCTTTTAAACGTGCTATTATATTACCTTTAAGAAATTGTGGACGCTGTGGGACAGTATGGGTTGTTATGATGTATTCTTTTCCTTCAAAAACCT